TGTTTGCTTTAAATATTCTACCGGTTAACATAGGTAGAAACTGTAATGTGAAAGTGAAAACTGGGCTGTCTGATTTCACTGCTTTCTAAATTGTGGGTAGTAATTAATGGTGTATTTACCTGAAGTTTGGAATAAATAGTGTAGATTTGGTTGGCATTCAAACTGCAAGTAAGAATGAGAGATGGAGGCCTATACACTGTCACTTATTTATAACTGAGTAGTGTATTAGCATTTAATTCATTTAATCCCCACTATAATCCTATCAAGGATTATTCCTTTACCAGTAGAGAAATTGAGATATAGAATGTTACAAAATTGTGCAACACAAGGTCACATATGAGGCAAATGGCAGAGCCCAAAATCAGTCATAAGTTGGTCCAAGCTCAAACCTCTCTGCTTCACTTCCTTACAGATTTTCTTCTTAGAGGAACGAAATACAATTGAAGTAAAGCTTTTCTCCACTTTTATTTCTCTAGCCTGGACTATTAGTTCTTTTTTCAGCAGAACCCATGTTTCTTATATAACTTTCTTTCCCAATCTCTATTATAGTAGCACTATCAACAAATTGTTAAATAACAAGGGAATACTGAATTCATCATCACTCCTAAAAGTGCCAGGACACATTATTCTAACTAGGTTTCACCTAGAAAAACATCAAAACTTTTCTTTTTGTTTTGTGATACAAGGTAAAACCTAGAAGTAGGCAACTGCTCAACCACTCAGCTACATAGATCCCCAGCTCTGGACTAAAATTTTAACATGTTTAAACTAGGTAAACCTTTCAAATTTTTTTTTTTTTTTTGTACTGAGGACTAAATACAGGTCTTGTGAACACTAGGCAAACACTACCACAGAGCTACATTCTCAAGCCCTTTTGGAATTAAAAAAAAAAAAAAATTCAAGACAAGATCTCCCTAAGTTACCCAAGCCTTCAACTTATTATCTTCCTGCCTCAGCCTCCCAAATAGCTGGGATTACAGGTGTGTACCATCTTTCCCAGCTATGTTTTGATCCTTCTTTATGTCCTAAAGATAGGGCATGGAATAAAAGGGAGTGTTAAAGCATACTGTTAAAATGCTGGATTGCTACTATTTGTTGTGACATTGTAGAACAATTGAACATATCTAGTGAATTACAAACAGAAGTGAACTGTGGCGACTATATGCCATGAATACTTCAATTCATAAAGACAGAAACATTATATAGGTGACACTCTGAATTCCCATCCTGGTACTATTTTTCCCCTAGGATAGGCAGAAAAATTAGATATATATAAATTTCAAATTGGAACTATAACTCTGACCTATTCCTTTTGATAAAAGATTATGAGACAAAACACAAAGACAAACATCATAAAATAACTTTTATACAGGATTAGTAATCTGTTTACATATAAAAAACAGAAAGGACCTCATTACAGTTAAGATTTCACATAAATTACACAGATTGACTTTTTAAAACTACTATTCAACTTCATTTAAAGTCCCTTTTAAAAATTTCATTTTGAAGGCACAGTGCATGAAATCAACCAGACTGTAGCACTTGAGATGAATGGGTATTGGGCATGTCATATAAACAGCTATATATATAGTTCTAGAGCTGGGGAGCATCATTCTAAAAAAAGAGAGAGGTGAAAAGAGCATTAAAAAATATCATTATGTTATACCTCCAGAAAATCTGCAGCATGGCCAGCATAGAATGTAGCTAGTACACTCATGTTATGCCATTTATAAAAATCATGATCGTACATATTTACATAATTTGTATCCAATTGCCTCAAAATGGTAACTGACTTTCAAATTTTATAATGTAATCTATCAAATTGAAATCAACCAGGACAATATTCTGAAAGTCAAGTGGAAGGAATTATTACCCAAAATAGGAGAATTGGGTGTTGGGAGAGATTTAGATTTCTTCATGAACTAGAAATCCAAGTTCGGTTGATATTAATCAAGGATCCTAATCATCCCCCAATCTGCTCTAATTAAAACAAATCCAAAACCCAAAGAGTTATCAGAAAGTTGATAGAAGGCTGCTGAACATTAACCATACTGGGATTTTTAGTAATAACAATAAAGACTTAGGGGAAATGCTGGGTTGCTAGTGTTAAAACAGTTCCACCAGAGAACCATAATATAGGGCACTATCATAGCATTCACAGCCAAGAAGCTTTTAATACAGCAAGGGACAAAACTTGGCACAAGTGTCTTCTGGCATCAAGAAGATAAAACTATTTAATGCCGAGAATAAATAGAAATGGAGGAGCAGGTCATGGTTACTGAGTAACCTTGTGTGAGCTCAGAAACACAATAAGCTCAGACATAAGCACTACCTTTTATTTATTTGTCAACTCATAATTAGTTTTAAGTTCAATATTCACTAATTTAGCAAATCCCATTCAATGAAAGTTACCAAAGATTGACCAATCACACTGGGTCAAAAATACAATGTTTCCTTTCTGGAAGATGACAAAGTCCCAAAGCAAATTCCCTTCAATGAGAATTGCAAGCATTTCTCAACTGGATGGGATCTCACTAGTACCCAAGTGTTTCAACAAATTTACATCAAAACCAGAGTCTGGCTCCCTGGAATTGCTTGGGCTCATCTTTTTGAACCACATAATTAGTACATTTATATAGGCAGACACTTTGAATATTACCTACTCAATCACTTTGCTTTTATTAAGGAGCTGGGAAGGAAGAAGGCTTACAGACTGATTGCCAGGACAAAACCATGCCTTGTGAGTAAAGAAAGGCACAACTCAGATTTGGGCACATTTCTTAATACTGTGATACTTACTTTCCTACATGACTCCAAGGAAATGGAAAGTTTCTAGGAAAAACACTGAAAAAATGCATTCCCCATCCCATATGGCTTCAATGCCTTCAGTTGTTAATGTGGTCTAATATTAGATTAGATCCACAAATAAAAGACAGAGCAGGGCTGAAAACACAGTCTTAGTAGTCATGGATCCTGTACATTCATGTTCATAGGTAACAGGCTGAGAAGGCCTTGTTTTCCAGCTAAATGCATTATTTAGCAAGTAATTAAAGACTGAAAATTTATGGCAGAATTTGGTTTTCCTTTCAGGAAAAACTACTTCAAGAACTATTTGTGTGTTCATTAAAAAAAAATTATACATAGTTAAAAGGCATGGCCTTTAGTCACTGACATATATGTTAAAGACATGTTTAATCAAGAAAGAAGTAAATGTCAAGGTGTCCTCTAGTGAAGAACACTGCTTTTAAAGCAAAGGCTGTTGTATCAACTTGGTTTAATTTCTAGTTGCAATGTCCCAAGCAAGGCCAGCCACTAGTAGGCCCTGTGTTGGTTCTCTGACTTTGCACTCTTGAAAATAAAGCTTTAAGGAAATATAAAGTGTTATTAGAAGAAATTAAGTCATGTATATTTAATATTAGCATCCCACAAACTGTTGTGAATGTGGTGATATGAGAATGAGGTGGTAGAACGTAGATTTGTAATACCAGGATTAATACCAAAATGGTTTAACCTTAAGTCATTCAAACTTACCACCAACATTTATTAACAAATATTATGACCTCATTATTCATGCTAAGCAAAATCTCTGTTATAAAGCCACTTTGGATGTATTTCTCACAAAACCTGGTTGAATGACCTAGGTGAATGGAGTAAACAACTCCACATAAAAGCTTTGGGATAACTGATACATTAATGGATATGAAACACAATTTGAAAAGATGAGAGCTAGTTTTTTGATCCCCTGATTTAGTACAAGTTCAGCAGCAACTTGGCCATTAAAACATTCAAAGGTATTAAACCATTAAATCATTGGTAAGACTCATACTTACAAAAAGCATCATTTCCACTGTATAAGACAGACACAATAAAATGCAAAACTTACAGTTCTTTGCCTGACTGGCAGTGAAGATGACACTTTCACACCACAGTGTTAAACCACACGGCAGTCCATAGTTTACACTTTTTTTTCTTTTTTTTTTTTTWAAWKGRRGGRRSC